TTCAAGCAGCTTAGTTCAAGTGTTCTATTAATTGTCAATAAAATTGACATAGGGAGAGGAAAGATGATGTCATTGAATTTTTTCAACAATTAAACATTTTAAATGCTTGAGAACAAAAAATTTCATATATGTCTGTTAATTCTTTTTTTCTATGGGGCCAAAATAAAATTATTGTTTGTTTGGAATTGCCGCTCGCCTCTGTGAAATACCCCTGTGGCAACGCACTTTGAAAAAAATTTTTCAAAGTGCGTTAAAATTGGGACATACTCAACGCACTTTGAAAAATTTTTCAAAGTGCGTTAAGAGTTTACATCAATACATTTTACCATGGATACACTTAACGCACTTTGATAAAAAATGTAAAAATAAAAATTTTGATTTTAGATTTTAGTAATGGAAAGATTCTATTTCAGTGTTATTTATCTTTCAGTAAACTTATATATGAATCGATTTACTCCTGTCGAGAAGAGAAGATGGGAAGATGGGTAGAAGATCTCTCTCTAAAGAATAATCCTTTCTCTTTCAATAGAAAGGCGTCGGTAACAAATAAAACGGGGGAGGGGAGTAATAAACCCAAAAAGAATAAGCCGCATTTTCAATGCCTATGTGATGTATATCTTACCAAAATAAGTGGGGAGGGGGGAGGGCTAAGCCCCCCTCCCCTTGCCCTTCGCCCAGTTATGATGCCTATGCTATACCCAAACAATGGATATGTATTTAGATTACTGATAGATGTTGAAAAATATCAATAATTGAATTAACTTAAGACAGTTGAAAACTAGAATTTTATAAGTACAGTAAAACGTATGAAAAAGAAAGGATTTTTATAGTCTTGGAAAATCAAATTGCCCATTTTTCTTAAGATAAATCTATCCTTAAGTCGTTCACTTTTAGCCCCCCCCCCCCCATCTACTTATTGCAGACTAGAAATTTAAAAAAGAAACGAAGTAATATTAAACAATCATCTCTATTGCCCTTTTACAATATTTATCAAAACCTAAAATATTTAAAACATCAATATCTCAGGTCCTGAAGTGACCTTATCACCTAAAAGTTATTCAACCAGGGTCAATTATTTATCATACTGATTATTTGAAATATATTGATCAAGCTTTATATTTTTTCAAAGTGCGTTAATATGGTCGAAATTAACGCACTTTGAAAAGAAATTTAATTTTTTCAAAGTGCGTTAGCTTGGTCCCAAATTTAACGCACTTTGAAAAAAAATTTCAAAGTGTGTAATTTTTCAAAGTGCGTTGTAACATACCCCCCGCCTAAAAATTTTTTTGGCAAAATATTGAAAATATTTTTTTTACGTTTTTTCGTCTAGCACAAAAATGAAAGCCGCCAAAATGTCAGACCAGTCTGGATGTAAAAAGAGGAAAAGTTATCAAAATCACCACAGTTCATTGAAGTTTCTATTTTTTTTTTTTTTTGCCAATTGTAATTTAACAACAATTTTGTAAAAAAAAAAAAAAAAAAATTATAAAAAAAAATAAATAAATAATCCAAAAAAAATCCCGCCTCCCTCCCTCCTGGGACTGAAAACCCCCAGGAGGCAATTCCAAACAAACAATTTTTTACGGATGGCCTGGGACGTGATATTTTTTTAAGACTCTCTATTTGAGACATGCATTAAATGGCTAGGACAAAATGCATTATATTCAAAATCACCCAAAAAACCCAAAGCCACTGTCATGACAATTAGCCATCTTTTCCCTCCAATGCATTAGCATTCTACAGAATTAAGAGGACATTTCCGTAGACCACTTAGAACCAATCAAAATTTCAACAGACATCACTAGCACAATTTGATTCCATTTCACAAAGCACAATCTGTTGAAAAATCACATTATCTTGGAAGACTGGGTGACCATAATGGACGACATCAATCTGAAAATGAGGCTGGAGAGTGTAAAAATGGTCACACTCAACGGCACAAAGGGAATCCATTGTTCCCCTACCATCACACCTAAACAGGCGAAAATTTCAATTTGTTAGATCAGTGAACAAGGAAAAACATTCAGAATGAAGCACAGATAGGACTGACATTAAACGCTTTTAAAATGTTGACAATAATTAACCTAATTTTCAAACTTCAGAGAAGCACATCCAATGGCAATTTATAAACATATTAAAAGCATTGTCCAAAAAAATGAAATTCCCCCTTATACCATCAACTTAATAAGGGCATAAATTTTAAAGTTCTCAAGTGTGATATATATATATATATATATCTACATTTATCTGTCAGAGGTATCTCAGATTATTACAATATCTTTATAGCTCCTTATACTAGTTTATAATAAATAAACTCCCTTGCCTAGGATGCAATACAGAGCTGCAGCCTTTCATACCAATCTTACAGCTTAATTCTGACATTGCTGTGGATATATCTTTAATATTTCATGACATCTGATGTATCCCTCACCACCCTGTACTACAATATACATGGTACATCAAGATCATTGGGAATGGCTGATTGAATGGCGCATTATGATTTCATTATAAGCTTCACGATCTGTGCTCTTCTGATAGGATTGACCATCCAAGGAGCTGCCCGCGTGTCTTATAACTCCTGAGACATCTTCACCATTTACTTCGTTAATCTCGGATCTCGGATCACGTCCGTGGCGGAAAAAATCGCACGCAGGCAAAAAAAGTTAATGATGCAAGCATATCTGAGCTTGTCGACAGAATCGATGGCCGAATTGACCAGCGATCGTCAGATTTTCACAAGCAGTGGCAAGTGATAATTTGGTAAAAATGAATTCCCCGCGATTTATAAGTAATCAGGCCGACAGCGGCTAGTGCTGCTGGTTGAAATTTTACGTCCATATTTGCTACACTATAAACCCAGGTAAATTGTCCGAGTGGTTGCGGGTGATAAATTTCTCGGTATAAATTTTGATTGATGTCTCCCTACAGAAGCTGCGGAAATTCACGAACAATATTAAAAGTGCTATATCCTGACCAGCAAATGTGGCTCATTTTCCCTGACAGGCTCTCGTGACGAGTAAAATGTCTCTGGAAACATGGTTAAATTACGATACATGAACGCGGAGAGAGAGGAGAAAAAGTATATTGGATTTCCTTGAGAGCAAAGACTGATGGATAACCCAAGACAAGTCTCGCTCTGTTGAAATAGATACAGTTTTTGTCCTTCTTCTTTCAGTTTCTCTATAAAATTGCACGATTTTCACGTGATTCTTCTTAACAAACCAGCCACTGCACATATTGACTGTTTTATTACAAGACAAAAACTCTAGGCACCTTAATGCATTGTGCATTAGCTTTACAGTATTTAATGAGTTTAAGAGTAATTATGATATCAGATATGGCAGTGATTGAATACACAAAATTCAACTGATAAACTCAATGCAAAGATTCGTAAATCCACCAACGAAACAAAATCTATTGATTTTGGTTCCATCATGAAAAAAGTTTTCAGCCTTCATTAATTGCATGCAGGCAGTGTTCCCCGATTTCTAATTGTTTCAGCCACAATCAGCTGAATTTTGTCTTATTCCAGTGTGATGAAGTGTGTTTTACTGAATTCTTTCTCCATATTGATTTTCCCATATATCCCCAACTTGTAATTGGGTGTAATAAAATTTGTCTGGGTATACTCAATAAGCACACATAAATAAAACATATACTTATTGCATATCCCATAACAATTTATTGAGAGAGGGGCACAGAGTCACGGAACTGATAAATAAATTTAATAAAAAAAAAAGTAAAATCAATGGAAAGCTGACAGAGAGCAAATTGGTTTCCTTTCTTAAAACGGGTTTCAGGCCAGACTTTGGCTTAGTTTGGATACAAAAGTCCCTCATAAAGCATGCTCTCTGATGTTTGTTTGGGAGGCTGTGTGCTACATATTTCAGAAACATTTGTTTGATCAAAGATTCATGTTCTATCTGCATGTGTATATACCATAATCAAGATCAGTTCTAAAGATGTTTTCTATAATAAGATTCATCCCTAAACTTTTTTTTCCTCCTCAAATATTGATCATTATCACATTTTGGGGGCCATTTGTATTTTTAATTTTTTTTTTTCTATTTCCAGATCAAAACTGAAAGAAATGATCTGTGAATTAACATTTCAATAACTGCAAGATTTTTCAAAAATTCCAGACTTGCACAGATTTAGAATTTTATCAGATCTCTATTACATGAAATTACACAACTTTACAAGCAATTGATCACTGATCACCCTCGCTAACATTTACCAATGATGTTTAATGATTAACATAAAATCTAACATTATCCCCTTGCCACAGTAGCTGTCAAACATTCTGTACCTGTTCGGCTAAACGTAACAGACGTGACATATCAGAAACAAACGAGACTTTAAATCCAGCACAGGTAACGAGGTGCGAATTGACAGGTAGACAATAATTAAGGTGTTTTGTAGCCCTAATGGACCCGTAAGATTGCCCATGATTAGGCTGTCAAACAGGTGTAGTTGTCAATGGATGTTTGTTGTTCGGTCTGTCAATAACTACTCGAGGGGATTCCTGATCCAATGTCAAGTATATATATACAAATGCTCCATAACGGACTATCACCATACAACTTATCAGAGGCTATTTTTCATTACTTATTGAAATCGACTGCTCTCTAATTAATTAGAAATAAATTTCAAGGGAGGGGAAATTGAATTAAACAGCAAAATTTTAATGATTTACTGAGTCAAACATGACTCTCTTGGGTAGCTTGTAAGCATTATAATCTTGAAATTAAGTGTAACATATTTCAAGAAAAAGAAATTATTTTTTATCCTCATCAATCTCCGCCAATGGCTGGATTGAAATACAGAAACTAATTACTAATGTAGATATTTTCAAGGATTTTAAGTAGACTCACCTTATTGGGGGTACGACGGTAATTAAAATGAAAGAGAAACCTCTGCATTCTGATGTTCCAGAAACCTGATGAATTATTAACCAATTAAAACCTGTGGACATGAAAAATTTATGTAAAAATTCCTACCTTGTGCAAAGTAACTGAGCCAGCACCATAGTAGAGTAAAATCCCAGATAAAATGTTGGCTTCGCTTCATGATTTAAATTCATTTAATGCTGACTGCTTGTCCAGCGAGTCCATATCTCACAAAATGTCCTGTCCTCATATCTTCTTCACACACACGTTATATTCCACCTGCAAGACAAATAATCAAGTTTGTAAGTCTTGTCTCTGTAGATCTTAAAGGTTTATAAAGTACACTCAACACATAATATCCCAAAATATACTCTCAAATTACAGTATCATATGGCCACTAAGAGACACTGTATTCTAAGAATCAACTTAAACATTAAACCACACCAGGACTGCTACAACATCACAAAATCAAGTTTTCAACAAAGACTTAAATTCACTCCAATATACAGAATAAAGCTCTGTGATGCAACAGAGTATGCACAGATATACCTCCAAGGTTGGAAGAGGATGGTTGTTATAGAATAATGGTAAATCTCTATTCCTGCAAATGACAGTCAATTTACAAAGAAGAGATTAACTAAATCTCGCCAGCTCTAGGCAGACTATTGGAGCTGCCTACCGATGCCTGCAGGCCGTCAACAGACAATGGACACTACACATGGAAAGCCAGGGACAATGTGATTGTGTCCCAGCAATCAATGGAGACCTTTGGCTCTGTCGCAGAGACCACGGTCTCATAAAAAAAAAAAATACGGAGGATTTATGTTTCCAGGATCTGGAACTCATCCTTTATTTACTTTGGAATCTAGCTTAATACCTTCATATACAGAATAAAACATTTTAGTATTATATATATAAAATTCCTTCACATTAAACAATGGCTACCTTAGGGTATACTTTTCTGGGTCAATAGAGTTTACTGAATGGCAAATTATTGCAGTAAAAATGACCTTTTAAAACATAAATCAGAAAAAGATTTACAATATTAAATAGACTGGCTATATACAAAGTTTAACTGCTTTTTTTCAATCAGTACACATAACTGAATTCTGTTTAAATGAATACTGAGACACCTTTAAAAGGATTTGTACCTAAAATTACTTAGATCAACCTGTACATATTACAATCCTAATGTTCTCCTAGCTGTTTGAAATTCTAAAAATTTGGGGCATTAAAAATTAAATGAGTAAGGATTTTACAGATCATAAATCAGCTGGCTATTATATGGGTTTAATTTAGAACTTGAGGGCAATCTCATCCATTATCTTTGATACGGATATTAAATGCATAAATTTCCACCCCTATTGAACACCTGCTCTATCACATTTCTGATCTTATTCAAATTGTTCTTATAATTTCCAGCTATAATTAAATTTATCGTAGATAAACTATAATTCCATATGAATAACTATTTTGCCCTTCTTTTTCCTCGATGCAAATATTATTGAATTATTAAGACTTTTTAAAATTCATTTTATATTATTGTTTCTTATTACAGTTACTAATTAAAATTACAAAATAGGAGCAGAGCAAACACGGACCTCCAAAACATCAGAGGTTGGATCAGGTGCCATGGAGGAGTGAGCATACCCTGTCAACAGGTCTGACACCTGATGTGTGCTCCTTGTAATTGTAATCACACATCTTATAACTGAGCTTCAAAACAAAGTATTTATTAATAAATTTAACATAAATTAATCCTTATAAAACCATTTTAAAAGTAACTTTTCAAAATATATGCATGTTCACATATAAATTTAAGAGTACTCACTCTTTGATAAGTTTTTATATATGGCTGTAAAGAGATCAAATCATATCATATAACTCCTTCAAGAGTGTCAGTTGTTTCAAAACCAATGTTTCCAAAAACAAGATAATTCTCAAGTAAAAAACAGCAATTTACCAAAAGAGAGAGCTAATATTCCATTATTACAGTCACAATCAACCACTGCTATGATGCGCATTCCCTGTCTCTCAAATCATTGTCGGAAGATTGCGTCAAGAGCAAAAACGTGTCTCTCAGAAAGGACATTGCATGGAAAGTGGAGCTACAACATCGGATCTTCTCATTAACAACCTTAATCCATAAAATAACACTGCAGGACTCGAAAAAAAATCTATCACAAATTCCTTCATAAAAACTTGATGCTACAAATTTTAGATGAGCATCAAAATGTGATTTTCACTCGCAAGTCTACTTCACAGCAATTAAGTAAAATGAGTAATGCATTATACACCCTTTTTTAAAGATTAATTTAGTTCCTTCTATGATGTAAATCTCTAACTTCACTAAGTAATAATGGAACAGTTATTCTGCTACAGTTTATATTAATTGTCACAGTAAAATTCGATGAAGAAAATTTTATAAGGAAAAAAAATAACACTAACGCAATCCCTGGTTTATTAATCGGTAGGAAATGTCACACAACTGAATACAGCCTGGAATGTTATATTTCAATTTCAGCCGAGTATTGTCAATTTCCGAACAGCAGAAGCGAAATCGTAAGTCAGATGGGGACAGAATAAAAGATCTTTCTTTGGTACGATCGTGAAAGACAATTCCCTGGGTCTGTGTCACACACAATGAGTCACTGGTGAGGCTGACACAGTCAGAGAGAGCCTTAATGAATAAATTCACAAATTACTCCAAGACTACTCTACAAGCCAGACTTTAAAAACATGGAAACTCTTACACAATGTGGGTCGTGGGAAAGTTAACTCTGAAATCTGTAGATCTGAATCTTTTTTTAAAAGCTACAATTTACCTGATAACATTGATTTTATTCGAGATAACTTTGTTACGGAATTATAAGATCAAAACCTCCGATGTTAAAATCACTGAAGTAAAAAATTTGATAATTAACATTTATAACACAAATGACATTTCCAGTCGGCAAAATTGAAAACGAAAACTTCACTCAAATTGTTATTAGCACTCTTAACTCATTAAAAAGTTTTTTGCATGTAGTTTGGAAATTATGTTACAGAATCATGAAATAATTTTAAATATTCTTTTTATAGATGCATGACAAAGATAATTAATTACACCCTAACTATTTCAGTAATATAGTAAGCTTGATAAATACACCTCAGTGAATCATTACTGTGTATTCATTTTATGTCTATATGATATCTTTTTCATAAAGAATATCAAAATCATCTCATACATGTAAAACATATACACATATGTACAGAAAAAGCATCTTCAAAATAATTCATATAATTACAGTTTAACATGAAAAACATCTTAAAACTGTTTTTCACCTTGCATGCATCTGATTGTCATCATGTATTCTCTTTCTGCAAGTGTATCACATAAAAGAATATACAATTTCATACATTTTATTACATTTTATTTCTATACCATTATTAAAACTTATAATTGCATGGATCAGGACATGCTGTATGTGTACTTTAAAAATGTTTAACCCCTCCTTTAAATCCCCTAGTAATTAATACATTACATCATTCATTCCATTAAGTACCTGTACCATTACAAAAGAAATGAAAAAAAATTTTGATGATAGATATGCTTTGAATTATTTTTTTAAAATAGCAGTCAGTCAATGCCCAAGGTAATTTGATCGGTAAAGGGACTAAATTCTTTATCATCAAAATGCTACCACCTCATTATTAATTATTTCTCCAGCGCCCAAAAGCTTGGACAATCGGTTCTGCCAGGCTTTCCTATGTGTATAGAAAAACTGATTAATTTGCTTAAATCAAATTCAATTTTTAGATTTTTTTTAATTCCTCTTCCCTTTCTTTATTAAACCTTGGCTATGTGATAATGTTAATTTTTTATATTGCATTTAATTTTTTATATCTTATTATTAACTGATATTAAGCCATACAATTTACATTAATGCACTCAGTGATCAAATATTGCAAATGAATGTGCTGCAGTTCTTATTAGGGCAATGTAAAAATACCCTATGGTTACCACAAGAGACAGATTACTCTAATGACTTTTGTTTGTCTTAATTCTGTCTGTATATGGATCTGATAATTAGGCAAATATCATTATTTGCCAAATAAATTACCATGTTTAAACATACGAATATTTGCTAAAAAACAAAGTGTAACATTAAAAAAATCTATAAATATTCGTGGTCAGCATGTATTTTGTCTGATAGATTTTTTTTTTCGCTCTGACTTGTACCTTCTGACTTTCATTAACTATTCACCACAAATAATAGCTTCTCCGTTAATTTCCTGCGATAAAAAAAATCAGGGGTGTACTTAAAGAGATTAAGTCCTTATATCTAAATCTGATATACCCTCCTCCTCCCAATGCCATGCCAATTCCTCATGTATTGATGATTTAGCTGTGGCATATTAACATGGTACAAGAGAACAAGTACATTACAAGGATAAACTCTGCTATATTCATTGAGTATGCAGGGTATTTATACAATATATATGATACATTTAGTAGACTAATGACTGCATGTTCTGATTTAAGCAAATTTACCTCATTGTTATAAAAAAAATTGCCTAGAATTGTAAAATTTTATTGATTTCATTCGACTGCAAAATAACAGGTCATGAAATATTAAAGGTTTATATCAGAAACAAGAAGCTTCCAGGGTTTCATTTTACGGGAGGTTAGAGCCTCGGAGCCGAGATTCTAATAACATGATCATCAGCTTAATTATTACTCAATTAATTCTGTGTTGGTGATGATTGATTGTAAGTTATTAACCTCTTAATATATTAAGCTAAATACAATATACAGCTGTTAGAAGTCTTACCGGTACTTTGTAAAGAGATGTATTTCAGAACATATAGCTCCCTCTGATCAAAGCATAGAAAATCACACACCATACTCCACAGAAAACTTTTAACCAACTGTATCTCCATTATAAATTTGTATCTATATACATCCTGTAAACATTATAAATTAATGGGAATTCCTTGCCAGAAATCAATGCTTGGGGTATATATAAATACACACTCTGGGGGTTGGGTGACCAACACAGATTGGGAAACAGATCTCTCCAACAATAACTTCCCCCTCGCATAAATCTTCTCGTAACAATAACCTTCTCTGTCAAAATGGCCCGACAGATGTCCAACAGGATTAAAATCCTTCACGGCAATTGTGTAACAAGCTTTTAAGGTGAGAGGGTTTTCCTGAGACCGGCTCGTTTTATTACAGGTAGTTTATAATAAATAATAGCCCTGCATGGTTTTGATATCATTCTTTCTGTGCCATG